GACGAAAAACCGATCCCCCCCCCCCCCCTCTCATGTGACTAAATAAAACCTGAATAAATAAAGAATAAAATAAAAAATATCACAGGGAATCGGAATGAAATAAATGGAATAAGATACAGGATTAATGCTGCTTTGCAATGATTCATTTACAAAACGTTTCACGTCGCTCTCACGTTCGTGTTAGGGCTGCAAGATTCATCGCTAGATGTTAATTCTTTTGAATACAATTAAGTCCTGCCTTTTATCGCTCGAGAATGTGATCGGACGTGCTCTAAACAGCTGTAGAAAGTATTTTCTGTAACTGCACAGCAATCACATTAATATACTGCTTGTCAATGAAAAATAGCTCACGGTTTTGATAATGACCTACAGCCTATTAGTGGAAGAAATCTTCATGATCTGTTAAAAATATATATTTGCCAAACACTGCTGTGGTCTTATTTTGCCATGTTTTATGCGTTCATATACCTAACACACTTTAGCTGTGGTAATAAAGTGTTATTTATGTACCACTGCAGCATTTATTCATATTTTGAATGATCTTTTATTTTTCAGTCCAGTTTTCAACGTAATTTTATTTTTAGTAATCTTGTTTAAAAAAAATATATATATAATAATAATATATATATATTTTTATATATATTTCTATTTAGCTTTACTAAAATGACTAAAACTGAAATAAAAATAATTTACTTAAACTTATATAAGGTAATATTTATATGTATTTCAGATTTTTTTTCAATTAACAAAAATGAATGATTTTTAATAGCTTTAGTTAACAATAACAACACTGCTGAGGTAAAATCGCTATAAAACGAAGAGCCATAAGCTGCGTCTCGTTTCGTAGGCTGTGTCCTCTGGAGGTCGCGTACGTCATTGAGTTGGTCATATTTGTGACCCTGGAGCACAAAAGCAGTGTTAGGTCGTTGGGGGATATTTGCAGCAATAGCCAACAATACATTGTATGGGTCACAATTATACATTTCTCTTTTATGCCAAAAATCATTAGGATGTTAAGTAAAGATCATGTTCCATGAAGATATTTAGTAAATCTCCTACCGTAAATATATCAAAACTTAATGTTTGATTAGTAATATGCATTGCTAAGAACTTCATTCGAACAACTTTAAAGATGATTTTCTCAATATTTAGATTTTTTTGCACCCTCAGATTCCAGATTTTCAAATATTGTCCGATCCTAACAAACCATACATCAATGGAGAGCTTATTATTCAGCTTTATTCAGATGATGCATAAATCTCAGTTTTGAAAAATTTACCCTTATGACTGGTTTTGTGTCAGAAAAGTAACCAATAGATCAGGAGACTCCAGTTTGAGTCATAACTTATTGTCTGTTCTGTCCAGTTTCTTTAATTATACTCACCGCAGCCATACGATTGGTTGGCTTGAAGCGTGTGGGCGGCGTCTTTAGCAGCAGATGTTCCAATCAGATGGCTGTATTTGTCTCTGTAGTTTGAATTAGGCGACGCAGGCCTCTTCTGAGAGCGACTGGCCTCTTCCGTCTCCAGTGCAGCCCGTTCCTGAAGAAGATGCGGTAAACAATTACCCAACTTCAACATGCTGTTCCAAGCAGCCAGATAAAAGATCAACAATTAGACAGACATCAACTAACAACAAGATTCTAAACTGACTCTCTCTTTTGAGCCGGTTCTTGCACAGTCTTCAGGAGGATCTCACCTTTCGTCGTCGTCTCTCCTCAGCTTTCCGATAAGCCTCCAGTTCCTCATCCGATGGTGCAAACTCCTCCATAACCAAACATGCACACAATCAAACACAGAGAACTCCACAGGCCAGAGGAGAACCAAGCTTTCTCCTGAGGTTTCTCTCCACTTCTGTCACCTGCCTGAGTCGGGGTATAAAAGAGCACTGAAACTTGGCATCATCATCTATTTGTCTACACTGACACTATCGAATAAGACCAAACGTTGAACTGCATAGAGCTGAATAACGACACCACTGTCTTCTGTACAACTGAAATTGAAGTCGTTTCATATTTGATGAACTCTGCATAATTAACACCAGTTTATTAAAATATTAATGCTGACGCTGCTGATTTATGCTTCACGTTGTACCTAAAATTTCAGTTATTTTAGTATTATTTATAGTGCTGTCAAACGATTAATCGCGATTAATCACATCCAAAATAAAAGTTTTGATTTACATAATATATGTATGTGTACTGTTTATTTATTATGTATATATAAATATTTTTATATTATATTTTATATAAATATATTTAATATATAAACAAAATTTTTCTTAAATATATACATGCATGTGTTTGTATTTATATATGCATAATAAATATACACAGTACACACTTATATTTTATGTAAACAAAAGCTTTTATTTTGGATGCGATTAATCATTTGACAGCACTAATATATACTATTAGTGTTTATTAATTGTCTGAATAAGCTTCGTTTTTCATTTTAATTTTAGCAATTTTATGTGACTGTCGTTTTTTACATTTTGTTTCCATTTAGCTTTAATTAATTTTTATTTCAGTTTTAGTAAAAAAAAAATTGTACTTCAGCGTAAACTTATTTTATTTAATTTAGTTGCCAAGGCAACATTTTTAATATTTTTTTTACATTTTTTTAAAGTATATATAATAACTGAATTGAATCAAGATTGAGCTGAATAACAACTCTACTGTCTTCTGTAGAGCTGCTTTACAACTGAAATTGAAGTCGTTTGATATTTGATGAACTGCATAATTAACACTAGTTTATTAAAATATTAATGCTGACACTGCTGATTTATGCTTCACGTTGTACCTAAAATTTCAGTTATTTTAGTATTATTTATAGTGCTGTCAAACGATTAATCGCGATTAATCACATCCAAAATAAAAGTTTTGATTTACATAATATATGTATGTGTACTGTTTATTTATTATGTATATATAAATATTTTTATATTATATTTTATATAAATATATTTAATATATAAACAAAATTTTTCTTAAATATATACATGCATGTGTTTGTATTTATATATGCATAATAAATATACACAGTACACACTTATATTTTATGTAAACAAAAGCTTTTATTTTGGATGCGATTAATCATTTGACAGCACTAATATATACTATTAGTGTTTATTAATTGTCTGAATAAGCTTCGTTTTTCATTTTAATTTTAGCAATTTTATGTGACTGTCGTTTTTTACATTTTGTTTCCATTTAGCTTTAATTAATTTTTATTTCAGTTTTAGTAAAAAAAAAATTGTACTTCAGCGTAAACTTATTTTATTTAATTTAGTTGCCAAGGCAACATTTTTAATATTTTTTTTACATTTTTTTAAAGTATATATAATAACTGAATTGAATCAAGATTGAGCTGAATAACAACTCTACTGTCTTCTGTAGAGCTGCTTTACAACTGAAATTGAAGTCGTTTGATATTTGATGAACTCTGCATAATTAACACCAGTTTATTAAAATATTAATGCTGACGCTGCTGATTTATGCTTCACGTTGTACCTAAAATTTCAGTTATTTTAGTATTATTTATAGTGCTGTCAAACGATTAATCGCGATTAATCACATCCAAAATAAAAGTTTTGATTTACATAATATATGTATGTGTACTGTTTATTTATTATGTATATATAAATATTTTTATATTATATTTTATATAAATATATTTAATATATAAACAAAATTTTTCTTAAATATATACATGCATGTGTTTGTATTTATATATGCATAATAAATATACACAGTACACACTTATATTTTATGTAAACAAAAGCTTTTATTTTGGATGCGATTAATCATTTGACAGCACTAATATATACTATTAGTGTTTATTAATTGTCTGAATAAGCTTCGTTTTTCATTTTAATTTTAGCAATTTTATGTGACTGTCGTTTTTTACATTTTGTTTCCATTTAGCTTTAATTAATTTTTATTTCAGTTTTAGTAAAAAAAAAATTGTACTTCAGCGTAAACTTATTTTATTTAATTTAGTTGCCAAGGCAACATTTTTAATATTTTTTTTACATTTTTTTAAAGTATATATAATAACTGAATTGAATCAAGATTGAGCTGAATAACAACTCTACTGTCTTCTGTAGAGCTGCTTTACAACTGAAATTGAAGTCGTTTGATATTTGATGAACTGCATAATTAACACTAGTTTATTAAAATATTAATGCTGACACTGCTGATTTATGCTTCACGTTGTACCTCAAATTTGAGCTATTTTAGTATTATTTATATACTATTAAAGTGTTTATTAATTGTCTGAATATGCTTTGTTTTTTTATTTTAATTGTAACAATTTTATGTGACTTTGTCGTTTTTAAATTTTGTTTCTATTTAGTTTTAATAAATTTTTCAGTTTTAGTGAACATTTTTTGTACTTCAGCTTAAACTTATTTTATTTAATTTAGTTGCCAAGGCAACATTTCTCTTTTTTTTTTTTTTTTTTTTTTAAGTATATATAATAACTGAATTGAATCAAGATTGAGCTGCATAACGACACCACTGTCTTCCGTAGAGCCGCTCGCAGCTGAATTTGAAGTCATTTCATAGTTGATGAATTCTGAAAAATGAACACGTTATTGTCATGTTTATTACTGCTTTGGAAACAATCTGCATTGTATAAAGCACTAAACAACTAAATAAGACAACAGAATGAAAACCTTTCAGTATTCAGAATACTGAACACATGGAAACATACTGACAGAGATCCGTCTGAGAGGAAGCTGTCTGTGATGCATGCTTACCTTTTTAAACAGCATGACGTATCTGCTCTCTTTATCTTCACCGAAGGAAAAGGACGCGAGTCCAGCCACCTCGGCCACATCATGCCTAAGAGACAGAGGCGTTAGCACACCGGAAAACTGTAGTAGTCCTGCTGGACTTTCAAAAGTATGAGAAATATGTAAAGTTCACGGCATAGACTCTTTAAAATACGTCCAAGAGTATTACACACCGGTCTGTTATTGTGGGGACATTTCCACGCCCCTAAACATGACGTGGCGGCACAAAACGAAACGTGATTGGCTGCTTTACCTGCCAGTCATATTGTGTGGTCTTAGCTAGAGCCCGACCGATATATCGTTTTGCCGATATTATCGGCCGATATGAGCCTGTCGCCGATATATCGGTATGGGCGAATATGCCGCCAATATGAATTTTTTTTTTACAGAACATATAACGCAGATAAAATGCTTGAAATGGTGTAATTACGTAGTTTGTCCAGCAGAGCGTGCTCCATTGTTTGCGACCTGGATGAAACGCTTTAAAGCTTAAGTCTATGGAAAACCATTGAAACTTTATACGGCCATATCTCCGTAACGCGCTGGCGAATCCGCACCAAATTCGGGAGATCCCTTCAGCTCGAGGAACCCTCTCGAATGTGAATTGAGTGTACGTCTAGAGGCCCGCTTTCCAATGAGACCACCGCCACGTCGATAGATCCCGGGGTTCGGGAGTTACGGGTGGTTAAATTCGCGGTCCGGCGCCGACCGATCAAGCGATCCCGGGGGCTACCGACACGCGGAGGGTGGCGTTCGAGAGGGTGTTCCGAAAGTGAAATAAACTTCAACGGAATAAAGTTGAATGGAATTGAATTAAAAAGTTGAATAAACTTCAACTTTACTGTTCAGTGCACTGATGTCAGACTCAGTTTGGATAATAAAGTTTATTGTTAAATTGTTAAACACCCTGCCTCTATTATGTATCTCTGTCACGTCATTATAAGTGTTTGATCACCACATTTGAGTGATCATTGCAAAAAATGTGTTTATGTATATACTGTATTCTATATATAGTACCAGTCAAATGTGTGGACACACGAATGGGAAAGTGTCCAAACTTTTGACTGGTACTGTACTATAATATACACAGCTGATATCGGTATCAGTCTTTTTTTACTCCCTAATATCGGTATCGGCCCCAAAAAGCCCATATCGGTCGGGCTCTAGTCTTGACCATTCAAAGCAGCCAAGGTTCCCAGACCTTCTACCGTCAGTCTGCGAGACTACAGTTAACTAGAACTAAAACCATTAAAAATATATGACTTGCAATTAAAGAAAGACAGCGCTGAACACACAAGATGCTTCTCTCGAGCTTGCCCATGGGCTCACATCTCTTCTTCTGCAGATTGCTGTCCTGAATGAAGTCTGACACCGTCTTCTCCATCTGACGGAAAAACACATTCATGTTCATAAACCAGTTCAGTTTATGTGAGACTGAGAGAGAGATGCAGTTATACCTTTTTCCTAAACTCTGCTTTCTTTCTCTTCTCATCCTCCTCGATCTTCTTCAGTCTGGCTGCTTGTTCTGCACATTGATGAATCAGAATATATCATAAAATTAATCGAGCCCAGGAGGTCCGCCATCTTTGGACTTTCTAATTTTTCACCGGAAGCTCGCTTGGCATTATGGGTAATGTGGTCCAAACGCAGCAGTGACGTCATTGGTTTAATCCGCTGGAATGTAAAGAAACTGCAGGCGTACGATTATCAACAAAGAATTGTTTTTGCACACAGGCTTTATCATCACTTTGGATTTAGTAAAGCATTAGTTATATGGCCTTTACAGCGGTTACACCATCTCAAGAGTTTCGTAAATTAATAATTGCCCATTAATACTACAACTAAACTTGCACAAAACTGCTTTGGATGGGATGCATATCATGTGTATTGATAATTTTGTGATTCATATCCAGTGTTTAGTTTATTTTGGAATGGTCATTTATTTTCAGTTTCTCATATTGTTTTACAAACAAGTAATATTTGACCAATTATATCACTTCTTTTTGGTGCATACAGACATGCTGTACGAGTCAAACCATTGCTTTAAAAGTTGAAACCTGAAACCAAGCAGCACAACTACAAATTTAACAATTGAATGATCATGTTTTCAGGTTACCTCGTTTAAAACGGTTTCATTTAATGGACGAGTTGTGTGTTTGTTTGTTGTTCCTGCGTAGCAAGCAAATGAGAAACACCACAATGGCCTTTTTTTTTTTCTTTACTTCAAGAAAGCCACAACCGCGGGATTTCGTTTTATATAAAAAGCTGGGCCCTTGTTGGATACTCCTCTTCATTAAAAAATCTAAAATACTACACCTTAGACATACTAGGAAGGAAGCTTTAATAGCTCCTCAGACCAGAAAATGACTGCTCAAATACCTCGTTACATCATTTAATACACATCACAACAAGCCGTCTGGTGTAGTGTTGGCCTTCACACACACCCCATTATCTTCCTTACAACATTAATTGTGCTCAACGTTAGCAAACATCCCCAAAATGACAACATAAGAGTCCAAATTGTCTTGAGTTACAAACACAGCAAAGGGTCACAATCTAGGAGTCGAGGAAATAGATCTTGTAGAATCTGTTCATCTGCTCCAGGAAGACGAAGGTGAGAACTGTGTGTGGCCCGAGACGAGCGTAATACGGAGTAAAACCCTTCCACAGACTGAAGAAGCCTTCCTTCCTTATGACCTTCACCAATACATCCTACAGAAAGGGGAAGAGAGCGCGAAGAACGATGAGAGTAAGGGTGGATGTGTCAAAGTCGTGGGAAAAGAACAGAAAGGGTGGTCTCTACCACTGAACCATTAACAACAACAACAATAATAATAATAGAGGAAATCTAATTATTCTGTCCTTCTGTGACAAGAGAGAGACACGATTCAAAGTCTTGTTTATAGTTACATGTTAGAGGTTTTATTGATACCATTAAAGCTACTATATATATATATATATACTGTATATACTGCATATAATACTGAATATAATGTATATTGGGGCTAATATGTGCTTGTCCTAATAATGCCTGGCTTGACCAGTAGATTAGATTTATTGTACAGTACATTATTTTACTGGATATGCACTTTAAATATTTCTAGTGAATGCAATCACTTATAATATTTTAAATAAATTTGAAAAAATTATATAATTGCAAAAACATGAAAAAATATAACATTTAAAATGTACAGTGTATAATCGATTATTTTAGTGGAGATGTGATCCGATATGATATACTATACAGTTTGTTAATATTCTGAATTTGATTTTTTAATATATTTTCTGCTTTCATGTTAATTTTAGTTAAAGTTCTAGTCATTTTGTTGTGTGTTTTGTAATTTTTATTAGTTTTTGTTGTTTTTAAATATGCCAATGTAGTTTTTCTTAATTGTTATTTCAGTTTTAGTTATTTAGTATCAAGTTAAACTAAATGAAAAATAAATGTTGCCTTGGAAACTAGCTGAAAAAAAAAAGTCAAGCCTATTATGCCATTTTTAGGGTTCCTTATATTGTTAGGTCAAACAACGCTTTCGTTTTCTTAAAATATGCATTTAATATCGCCTCATTTTACTCTGCTCTGATTGGTCAGATGGCCCAGTCTGTTGTGATTGGTCTACCGGAAACAATACGTCCATTGCCACAGTTACGTATTTTGAGCGCTCGATAGAAATGATACACATCTATTATTTATCATGCACACAGGTTGTGATTCAGTGGAGTCAGCTGGTCCAAATAAACTTGAGTACTGAATCAACACAAGTGTGTATTCTTTAGCAAAGCAGCATTATGCGTATTTCTATGCTGTTGTCACAATTGTCTTGCACATGGAGGGAAAAAACTCCTGTGAAATCATGCTGGGACTGATTATTGCACAAGTATATTTACACTTTACTTAGCATGTTATCCAACATCCCAACAATACTGCTGGTGCACTAAAACCTGCAACCCAGAGCAAATCAACTGTTGATGAGTGTGTCTCTGGGTTTCTCCCAAGATAACTTGATCCATTTCTAATGTTCTCCCTGCATCAATGTGACTGAAAGGTCACAACTCCAGCTGTCTGAGATCAGTTGCTTAAAACAGACAGTGTAACAGGGAAAAGTGGTGAGAGATTGAGTATAAACGAGATTAAAACATACCAAACCGTTCCTGTACTCCGGCTTCCCATCAATCATTCTCATGTTCTGGATTCTATTGAAAGAAGGAGATATATGTCGGCATTAAATATTCAACACCGTTTCCACAGAATCAGCAGAAAGACCTTTAATGTTTTAAATCTTCTGTCTTTAAGTCAGGTGCTATTTAATGCGTGATTCATTTGTTATGCGCGATCTTATATTTTGGTTTGCATCCAATTGTTCTTGAAGTGAACGGGACTCTACTGTGATATAAATGTATAACTTCACATTTACAGACTGTATTTTGAGATACATTTATTAGCAACCTTTCTCTCTACATATGAGCAGCAGTATCGTGCATTAAAAAAACCAACTTAGCATGTATACAAGCTTTATAATGGCAGTGAATGGGTGTTGAGATTTTGAAGCCCAAAAACGTGCTCATAAAAAGTGCTCCACAAAGATACAGAAGTTATTAAAGAACAGCAAGTGATTTTCTCTTTGTCTTCTGTTGTTTGATTAACATTAATGACACAGACAGCAGCAGGTTTATTGGGCTGCTGTCCCTTTAAGACCGAATGCACGGATCTAACATACTGTGTTTCCTGTCAACTGTTCATGTTCACTTCAGACATAACCAGCTGTTGAATGCTGTGAATACTACACACAGTGGGCATTTTGACATAAATGTGTGTGTATTTGATCTTTTTGACATCATGCACGTCCCGCTCTTCATTTCCTAATTCAAGCATGTTTCTTTATCACTTTAAAGTGTCAATAACTAAGTAGCACTGTGCTAAACTAATATATTTACTAGGGCTGTCACGATTCCTCGGTTACAAAAAATCCTGGATTGCGTTGTGTGTCAATTAACCGGCAAAATACCGGAAGTGGTGCATTTTCACGGATGAGAATCCATGAAACGCATTATTAGATCGTTTTCTAAGGCTGCACGAAATATTAAAACCATTTACAAATCATAATAAATCATACTGCTATTGTGGATTCACAAAGGCTGTGATTCAATGAAATAAACATATGCGCTGCGGGTTTAACCTGTGCTTTATTTCTATGCGTGTCGGTCACGGCTCGTTTCACAGTAAACGCTGCTCCGCACAAACAGTCATCATTTCTAGACATCTCTGCATATGCTGTGAGTCTGAGTATAACGTTCATCTGAGAACATGTGCACCATTCTGTCAGATTTATAAGGCGGATCATTTAGAAACCTGCGCCAACACAGGAGAATACATCATTATCTTTCTAAATATGCGAACTGTTCATCGCGACTTCAAAACAAAAGTTTAACCCTCGCTCTAAGTTTGCATGTTCTGATGTCCACATATTCAAGAAATTACAGCGGCTGTATCATTTCTATTATAAAGAAGTGGCCAAATATTAAAGATTAAGAGGGCATTTGAATTAAACTTTGTTTAGTCAATATTAAACAAGGATTTTATCGTGCTGTAAAGTGTAAAAACAATCGTCAGGCCGTCGGCGCCTCTGCAGTCACTTGATATTATACATAAAGTACATAAGTTATGATTATATTGTTTTATTACATTATGCATTTTGTTCAATAAAACCATATGACTACTTGCTTTTGATATAGTTTATTTGAACCAATTATTATTGCCTCATTGTTATTATGCATGCATTTTCAGTCATTTTAAAGTCTATTGTTCGCTTATCCAAAAATGATCAGATTGCTCGATTATAGGGATGCACGATATATCGGCCACCATATCGGTATCGGCCGATAAATGCTAATTTTTTCTGTTATCGGTATCGGCCTGATAAGAAAATTTGGCCGATATTTTAAAGCCGATAAATAATGCATTATTTCCTTCAGAGACACTTCAGATGTGCGCTGTTCGTTTGCAGCCTTTTGTGCAATTGTACATTGTAATATTGTGTTTATTTGATGTATATCTGATTTATCTCATATAGAATGCGTTTGGTTAAGTTAAAAGAGCGCTTCAGTTTACCGGTGATCATCTTTAGCTCAGCGCACGCAGCTCAAACAGCAGTGCACAACATTAATAACTATGATTGGGAATGTTGTGTATATAACATTATTATAATAAAACGTTGTGAATTCTTTGGGTTTAGTTGCCGTGTTTCAGCGCGTTGTTATGGGAAGAGCGCATCCACAACAGGATCACACATTCTGACTATAGCACGCAATAACTGCGTCATTTTGTACATATATAAGTTGTAATATTATGTTTGTTGTATTAATATTAATCTCAGGATGCATTTCCTTGAGTTAAATAAGCTGCCAGCAAAACGCTTCAGTTTACCGTGTTCATTCAGCTCTTCAGCTTCAGCACGCGCAGCTCAACGGCTGCTATTTAAAACAGTGGTATTAATTTGTTACTTTTTCAAAATCATTGATATATTATTAATAACAACAACCACTTGTATTTTTCTCTTATTATTTTCATCAACAATATGGTTTAGTAATTAAAATCATTTAATTATTGTCCGTGCAGAGGCTATTCCGTTTTATTGATCTATGGCGCATTCATTTTGATTCTTTACACGTGTAATGATGTCCAGTGACTTGTTTGCATTATTTATGCATAATTTTATTTATTTGTAAGACTTTTTTATGACTAAATTTGGTAATGGGAAAGTAAAAATATTTTTAAAACGTACACCGTTCAAACTAGGCTGCTTATGTTGAAGTGTTTGGGATGTGGCTTTTAATGATGAGACCTTTTTTGTAATCAGGCTCTCAAAAAGTATATAACAATTTGGACATAGATTTATCGGCCAACATATCGGTTATCGGCTTTCAAAAATAAAGAATAATCGGTTATCGGTATCGGCAAAAATTTTCATATCGGTGCATCCCTATTCGATTAATAATCAGAATCATCAACCGATTACTCGATTACCAAAATAATAGTTAGTGACAGCCCTAATATTTACATGTCATGACATAAATGATATTACAAAATCTATAACGACAGACACTTTATATCATCATACCTCCCTATGTCATAATTGATTGTCTAGTAATAAATCACAAGAGTTAAAACTGAGTGTACCTGGTCTTAACGATGTCTACTGGCATGGAGGCAGCAGTGGTGACCAGTCCACTGATCATACTGGCACAGAAGTGACACAAGATATCATCTCTGAAATATCCTGTACAGACACAGAACATGTTTTCAACTCACTCATTCAGAAGAACACACACACACACAATGAAACGTCTGCAAGTAACAAGGCACACAAATAAAAGCTAGCCTCCATCTGCATCTGGTATAGCTAGATTGTCTAGAAGGGCTGACACAGTACAAGTTTGTGACTGATAAGATAAAAGAAGGTTGATACCAGAGTCCAACAGTGCTTGCTTGGACTGGGAATATGAAGCAAGTTGGGCTGCGTTCACAACGACTGCTCTGGCCATGGTGGGTATGCAACCCTACATTCACAATAAAACAAAACACACACATCATTACATATACAAAGGGTTTCTGCAGGTTTGATGAAGGTCAATTCAAGACTTTTTAAGACAAAGTGTTTAGTTGAGTAATATTAGCAACACTTAAAAGTCTGAAAATACAACTCTTGCTATAAATCTTCATTACTTTTTAAATTAATTTTACAAAAACACTAGCTTAAGCTTGGATAGCTCTGCTCACAAGCATGCATGCTTTTTTGTTCTCTTGTCTTGAAGTTCAAATGTCTAAAGATTAATTTATCAAGATACTTGACAAACAACATGGCATAAGATATGAAGTCTTGTTTTCTGAGAAATTGAACAAAATGAAGTGAGTTTGATTAAATCAGGAACAAATATCTGCTAAGTCATACCGCATTGATAGATATTTGTTCTTGTGTTAAGCATGAACTCAGTTAATTTTGTTTAGTTTCTCAAAAAACAAGACTTCATATCTTCATTTTGCATTTTAAGTAAATGTATTTTGATTTAAGGACGTTTAGATATTTTTACTGGAAAACAAGACAGAAATACTAAAGGAAATTAATTTTTTTAAGTGAATGCAATGTTTAATGCCATGACTTTATGAATTTAAGACTTCCGGCTCTGATTTAAGACCTTTTAAGGCATTTGTGCAAGGGTACATTAAGACCCTTTTAGGAACCGCAAGAACCCTGCGTATGGTTTCTGAATAAGTCAAACATACAGAAAAAACTCAAGGAACAGTTAAGAACACATTGTCACATAAACAGTCATCAGGTTAGTTCCCTAATTTAAGCCTCTTGAACTTATGAGTCTGAAACTGAATCGTGAGTCTTTGACATTGATCTAGAACATCTAGAACAGACATAAGGCAAAATAATCACCAAGTAAATGTGCAACAAGATGTCTCTAGAATAGACATATGGCAGAAAAAAGTAAAATAAAAATCCCGTGTCCAGGGGGATCCCGTGGCCATGCATTGGTCATAGAGCTTGATTTGTTGCGAACTAGATTTGTTGCGCCAAGTTCACACGTACTCCGTCTGCAGTGCGTATACAGTATGTGTATGTGGTGCAGAAGCAGACATTTCCGTGCCAATCCATGTTATTTTTTACTGCGAATAATGCGCTGTCACTTTCAGAGCATGCAGCACAGCAGAAATAGACTCTGTGCGTAAACGATCGCTGCACTGCTGCAGACGCACCGCTCCTGCAGCGCACTGCCGGACCGCAATCGCGTGCAGTGTGAACGCTCTGATCCGTTAACATGGGCACGGACAAAATACGCACCACAGACGGAGTGTGTGAACCTGGCGTTACGTTTGTATGCCCACCCGGTCTGTTCTGTTATCGTGCTCCATTTAGGCGTGTTGCATTCTGATTGGTTCGGATAGCATACTGTGGGAGGTCGGAGGCGCGGAAAATCGTGCTATAAAGCGATTTAGAAATCATGCACGCTTAAATCGCGATTTGATGACAATTTCGATTAATCGCACAGTCCTAATACACACACACACACACACACTCTCTCTCCCTCTCTCACACACACACACACACACACATTCAAACACACACTCAAACACACACACACATTCAAACACACACACACTCACTCTCTCTCTCTCTCTCTCTCACACACACACACACACACACACAC